CATTTGAATGAATGAATGTATGAATGAATGAATGAACGAACGAACGAATGAATGAACGAATGAACGAATGAATGAATAAACAGCTAAATGAACGAGTGAACGAACGAAGTATACACAGATGAAGGAATAAAACGAGAGAGTGATTGAGGAATTACCTGATGTCAAAACAAGATGATTCCGACGATAAGGAAAGGCGAAAGAGAACGTTCGCTACATTGAATACGCAAATATAAAGGAATGAAAGCTTTCTACACGTACACACACACGCACACACATTCACACGCCCGCACATTCACACGCATATACACGTACAAACGCACGCACACATTCGTGAACAAACTGAGGAATGGATGAATAATCAGAATGAGTGAAGAAACAAATGAACGACGGAAAAAATATAGATGAACAGACGAAAAAAAAAGAACAACGAATAAACGAACGAACAAACAAATGAACGAACGAACGAACGAATGAATGAATGAATGAATGAATGAATGAATGAACGAACGAACGAACGAATGAATGAATGAAGAATAAATAAATAAACAAACGATTGGGCGAACAAACGAACGAACAAGAAGAATAAACAAACAAACGAACTAACAAATAGAAACAAACTATACCCATACTTTTGGGTAACTTATGATTAATGAAAGTTACGATTGGCGGTCAACATAAGCCAATGTTCCTCATTTATTTCAAAGGTACCCTAGGAAAAACCTTTCCAATCTCGAATGCAAAACATATCGCTCTCTCGGACGAAAGCTGCGGTCGGTGACTATGTAACATGAATCAAATTTTACAGCATGTGAATTTTTTAAAAATATAATTATAATAAAAATAACAGTAATAATGATTGCAGTAATAATAATAACAATTATTATTATTATTATTATCATTATTATTATCATTATTATTATTATTATTATTATTCATTAATTCTCAACAGAGTTATCAACACACACATAACATACACACACACACACACACACACACACACACACACACACACACACACACAAACACAACTCTCTGTCTGTTTAATTATAGACCTTATGGGATTATCAAGATCATTTTTGGTATCTCTAATGATAAGGAATGTATTGTATAGTTAAGTTGTGTTGTGTATATTTTATTAAATGGATGAATGAATGAGTGAATGAATGAATGAGTGAATTAGTGAGTGAGTGAGTGAGTGAAAGAGTGATTGAGTGAGTGAATGAATGAATGAATGAATGAATGAATGAATGAATGAATGAATGAATGAATGAATGAATGAATGAATGAATGAATGAATGAATGAATGAATGAATGAATGAATGAATGAATGAATGAATGAATGAATGAATGAATGAATGAATGAATGAATGAATGAATGAATGAATGAATGAATGGATCAAATGGACAACAATATGAAACATGCTAAATACTTCTTTTTCAAATCCGAGAAAGAAGAGTCTAAATGAATAAAGATAACAATTATAACAATAGCAACAGTAATAACAATAATAACAATAACAACAACAAGAATAATAATAATAACGATGATAAAAAAACTATATTTTTCCCTGTAAAATGAGAGAGCAATTCAATGAAAGAAGAATTGATTGATTGACTGCCTTACGTGTAAACGCTTATTATTATTGTTGTTGTTTGTTTGTTTGTCTGTCTGTCTGTCTGTCTGTCTGTTTGTTTGTTTGTTTGTTTGTTTGTTTGTTTGTTTGTTTGTTTGTTTGTTTGTTTGTTGGTTTGTTTGTCACCTATTCATCATACCTCTCTTTTTTTCTCTCACTCTTTCTTTTTAAAATGTAAAAAAATTAAAAAATGAAAATGTTCATAAAATGTTCATCTAATTCTCTCTCTCTCTCTCTCTCTCTCTCTCTCTCTCTCTCTCTCTCTTTCCCTCTCCCTGCCGGTCTCGTTTCCTTTTTTATCATTTTCAGCGAACTTCACTTTTGAATAATGGCGGCATTTGCATATACTATGGAAAAAAACAATACGGCGCTATACAAATAAATGATATAGCGCAGCATTATAAATGACACAGTGTGATATAAATAATAGAGCTCTACATAAATAACATTTAACAACAAAAAGATGTTTGCAGACTGATTGATTGATTGATGAATGAATGGATTGATAGTTCGGTTGATGATTCAACAAGTTAATTGATTGATTTATTGTTTGCTGATTGATCGATCGATTGACTGATTGATAGATTGATGGTTCGCTTGATTGATCTGCATAATGTGCTTTCCTTCATGTTAATAATTACCCACATACACACTGCTCATTCATTCACTGGTACAGAAAAAATTTCCATTAACAACCACACACGGACACACACTCACAAACACGCACACGCAAACACACACACGCAAACACAGATGGATAGCCTACTCAGACGAGAAAGACCCCATACTTCGACCGTCCGACTGTTACAAGAGAAGATGGCTGGAGGGTAGGCAGAAAAATGCCTGCAAGAAAAACTTCGACATGGTTGAGTCCATTAAAATCGGCGCCAGGCAATCCATTGACCAGTGCCAGAAGCAGTTTGTTGGCAGACGTTGGAATTGTTCCGTGGTCAAGAAAGGAAATGTTTTTGGCAAGATTCTTAATTTCGGTTAGGAATAATTGTCGTTTCTATTCCGTCGGGATTATTGTTTTGAATTTGTAGTTGTTGCTATTTTTATATCGTTAATATTTCTATGTAGTTAAAAAAAATCAACTTAGACATCAAAATCTACGAAATAAAATTTGAAAATCAAAACCCAACAAACTCATCAACTTCTTCATCAACTTTCTCTTCTTTTTTCTCTCAGGTACCAGAGAATCAGCTTTCGTTCACGCTCTATCAGCGGCTGGCCTAGCCTACTCTGTCACAAAAACATGTAGCTCCGGACAGCTGGATCGGTGTGGCTGTGACAACAGCAACCACAGAAAGTTCGACCACCAGCTGCAGAGTGTCGTGCGTAGGACGGTCGCTTCTAATCAGCAATATTCGAATGGCGATTTTTATTATGCCAGTAGCAGTAATAATTATAATTATAACAGTAATAATAATCATATTTATACTAATAATTATAATAATAATTTTAAACCAAACCATTTACCTCAACACCAACCACAACAACAACAACGACACCAACAACAACGTCGTTCGCAGCAGCAGATTCGCCGCAACAACAACAACATTAACATCAACAACAACCAACAACAGCAATACAACAGGCAACAACACCAACGGTTTAAACATCCGCACAGCCAGCAGCAACAACAACAACACCACCAACTGCAACAACAACAACAACTACGTCCACATACACAACAACAACCACAACTACATCAGCAACAAAACTATCAAAAACGCGTTGTAGACATTCAGTGGTCAGGCTGCTCGGACAATGCAGACTTCGGCACGGCCATTTCTCGCTTGTTTGTGAATGGTCGCGAGAATATAACGGGGCGAAATCCTATGCGAGCACTCATCAACCTACACAACAATAATGCCGGTTTAAAGGTCAACTAGTTATTATTATTATTATTATTATTATTATTGTTGTTGTTGTTGTTGTTGCTGCTGTTGTTGTTGCTGTTGTTGTTGCCGTTGTTGTTGCTGTTGTTTTTGTTGTTGTTGCTGCTGTTGACAATTAATTATTATTATTTATTCTGTTGTTGTTAGTGTGTGCATGTGTGTGCGTATGTGTGCGTGTGTGTGCGTGTATATATGTGTGCGTTCGTGTGTTCATAATATAGTCGACATTTAACTACAATGTTAAATCTGATAACTACAAATATTGATAATATAAAAAAACAAATACATTTATAAAACAATTATATAATTGTGAGACAATGAGAAATAAAACCCATAAAACTACTACTACTACTACCACTACTACTACTACTACTACTACTACTACTACTACTACTACTGCTGCTGCTGCTGCTGCTGCTGCTACTATTACTGCAACTAATATTACTACTACTACTGATGCTGCTGCTGCTACTACTACACTACTACTAATAATAATAATA